TACATGACAAATACCTAAAAAGAACGAAAGAAGCAGATGTGAACCAACAGAAAACTCATCAACGGCTGAGGAACACCGGGTTGAAAGCTGAGACAGAAAGCCTAATTATTGTAGCTCAGGATCAAAGCCTCGAAACCAGATCATATCGCTGTCACATAATGAGATGGAACTAACCCAAAACGGGGTATCTGCGGAAAATATGATGAAACTGTCGACCATATTATCTCAGGACGTCCAGAACTAGCAAAAATGGAATATACCCAAAGACATAACAATGTAGCAACATATGTGCACTGGAAGTTATACATGAAGCACAAAATCGAAACCACTGAGAGATGGTATGAGCACCAACCAGACACAGTTACCCAAAATAACGATGTAACTATCCTCTAAGGCATGCTAATTCAAACTGACGGTAAATAAAAGTGAACAGCTCTGATATTATCATAAAAGGCAAGAAATTCAGGAAGTGTATTCTTATTGACATAGCAGTACCATCTGAGAGAAACATCTGCAAGAAAATTATCAAGAAATTGTTCAAATACAAAGAGCTGGAGACCTAGATTAACAGGATGAGGGGAATGAAAACTGAGACTGTACCAATAGTATTCGGAGAACTGGGCCTCGTGAGAAAGTGAATGGACAACTTTACTAACAGTGTCCCAAGTAACATCAACATAAAAGTTGCCCAGAAGATCGCCCTATAAGGAACATCCCATATACTAAAAAAAGTGCTATCATTTAAATGACAATTCTCCTATAGGGCCTAAGGACCATAATTTGGACCCGCTCTACAGGATACAAAGCAGAAAACATAACATACACAAATATTATTATTATTATTATTATTATTATTATTTCCTTTGATTTCTGGCGTTTACACATTTCTTTCCGGGTCCCGCCCAGGGACCTAAGGTTAGAGATGGCATCATGACACTTTCCACTGACAAAAAAAAAAATAAAATAATAATAATAATAATAATAATAATAATAATAATAATAATAGTGTGTGGAAATAAAGATCAGACAATCAAGCGGATTTAGAGAGTTAGTACTCCCCCCACCACCACCACAATACAAGAATAGGCATGACCGGATGAGGAAGTTGATCCACTGTGAACTGTGCAAGTAATTGCATTTTCACTCTACAGACCATTGATTATGAACAGACCAGAATTAACCCTCGAGAATAAAATACATAAAATATCTTTGCCCTTTGAGATTCAAAAATATCACCCAATCCAAACCAGAAAGCCGGGTCTGCTAAATGTAAACACGAAAAAGGGAACATGTCAGATAAGTGGATTTTTCTCTTTCAACATGTCACTGAGTAAAGCTAAAGGGAAATTGAAATGCTGTATAAATATGTCGATCTTGTCAGGGAGATGAGAAAATTATCATACATTAAGTAAGGTATCTCCACTAATACGGCGCAATAAACAGCAGGGCACGATATAAAATGGTCCCAAACTTAATAAAAACGAAATTGTATTGTCAAAAGGTTTTTATTATGATTAAGAGGAAAGACCAAATTTTTTTTTTGATTATTTTATTAAATTTTTTCATGCTTTCTAGCACGTTCGAAATTTTGGTTAAATTTTTTTTTTTTTTTTTTAACGTCAGCGGTTTATGTAATATCTATCATTAGCGTTTTAGCGTCTTTTTTCAGGTGAAAAACACAATGATTTGGAAATTCTTGCAAAAATCAAATAATTCTCATATTTTAATGAAACTTTCAGAACTAACTCACAAATGAATGAAATTATTTTAGACATGTTTTTTACATCTGCTATCCACTCCTTACTTAAATTTATGAATAAACGAAAAAATGAAGGACAAGGCGTTGCATGACAAATACCTAAAAAGAACGAAAGAAGCAGATATGGACCAACAGAAAACTCATCAACGGCTGAGGAGTACCGGGTTGAAAGCTGAGACAGAAGGCCTAATTATTGCAGCTCAGGATCAGCGCAATAAATCGATGTATTGACATCTGTACAATTTACTGTTTAATTATGTACACTGATAAGAAATACTCGGAAACTGAAATAAAATCAATGAATAATAAGAAGAAGAAGAAGAAAGAAAGAAAGAAAGAAAGAAAGAAAGAAAGAAAGAAAGAAATTTTATAAATTTTATAACTTCCAGTGCACACATGTTATTTAATAATAAATTTAATCAAAATTTCGAATGTTCTCAAAAGGTAGGTAATAAAATAGTTCACTTAAGATTTTAAAAAAAGTATGTCACTTCTGTTCATCCATCCAATAACATCACCTGACTTAAGCTGTCAATACATCGATTTAATTGTCAGTTAACACCTGTGGGCTTTTATGAATATATGTTAAGGACAATATTGTCTGAAGCCCAAATATTTTCCCGATGAAAAATGAATTTTTACAAGAATTGTTCTTTTTTACAATTTTAAATACAAAATGTAATAAAATTTTTAAATACTTTAAAATTAAGTTTCAATCCATTCAATGCTGTTATTAAGTATATCTGTCTTTACAGATCATAAATTTGAAATCTTATTACAATCTCCGACACACATGTATTTAAACGAATTTATTATAATAAATTATTTATTAATTTAATATTTCTTATGAATTTTAAACTGTTTTTTCCAAATATATAGTTGATCATGTGTGACGTTAATATCACATGTTTTAGTAGTTGTTTCTCCTCACATCAATAAATTGACATCAGAAAATCTTAGTTTTCGTACTGCGAACATATCTTGAATTTTCTAACTTTGATCATCATCGTCAGATTTTCAAAGGTTTTAGTTTTTAAAGTCCTATTTCAATAAATATTTGAATTTAATTTTTTAGATAAAATTAATTGATTGTTTTTTGTTTGTTTTTTTTTTTTTGTTGTTGTTTTTTTAGCGAGGGACTTACTGCAATTATTAATTATTTTCTTGTTAGTGTAAATTCTCGGGACAGAAACAAGATAATTAAAAAAAAAATAACATTTCATAAAAATGAGAGAGGTACCTATAATTATTAGGTACCTATCTTATTTATGAAAATTTATGGTATTATTTTGAATTATCAATTTTTATATTATCTCAGTTGTGAATATTTTCATAACTGAGATATAAAAAATAAAAATAAATGACACTAATACCATAAAATTTTATAAGAGATGTACGCAAAAATTACGCACCTCTCTTATGAAATTTTCTCACTTTCAGTTATGAAATTTTAAATTTATTTTATTATGAGTATTTTAATTTTATTTTTCCAGAAATCATCTTCAAAAATAAGGCTATTTTATATACGTAAAAAATATTAGATTGCTGAAAGTATTAGTTAATTTTTAGACATTATTGTGTAGTTAAATTAGTTCACTTAAGATTCGAAAAAAAATAAATCGATGTATTGACATCTGTACAATTTATCTGTTTAATTCTGTACACTGATAAGAAATACTAGGAAACTGAAATAAAATCAATGAATAATAATAATAAGAAGAAGAAGAAGAAGAAGAAGAAGAAGAAGAAGAAAGAAAGAAAGAAAGAAAGAAAGAAATTTTATAACTTCCAGTGCACACGTTATTTAATAATAAATTTAATCAAAATTTCGAATGTTCTAAAAAGGTAGGTAATAAAATAGTAAAAAAAATACTTTGGTCTTTTCTCTTAATAATAACATAAACATTTAGACGATATTTTTTTTCATCAAGTCTGGGGCCTTTTTTCATCATCGGATGTTCTTTATTGGCGAATTCGTGGAGATACCTACATTAAGGTGACTATCGTACCAATGGTTACTGGAGCGCTTGAAATATTCTTGAAGACTAGGAAGAACTGAAAATCAGAAGATCGGTACCATTCAGATGGTAACATTACTGAAAGCAGTTAGAATACTAGAATACTAGAGTAGCCACTTTATTTCCAGTGTAAGCCACGAGTTACTACCGATGTGAACACTGACTGAATGGAAAATAATAATAATAAAAGATAAGACTAATTAAAAAGAGAGAGCTTGAAAACTTGTGAGACAGGAAAAAAAACGCAAACAAGAATTTAGTTACAATAACAACGACAAAGACTAAAAATAGAGTGAATGTGGAGAGAGGTGGGTGTCGTGTGTAAAGACGGCAAAGAAATTGATCTAAAAGAAACGAAAGTAAAAGATGTAATTAATTTAATTTAAAGACAGAAAAAAGGGAAGGCTTAGACTTTTATCTTTGCCATTATGTGTCGTTGAAGACAGTGTTCTTAGCAAGGTCTACGTAAAGAGTTACATACAGACAAAAATTCATCCACATTGAGCAAAATACATAGACATAGATGACACTAAGTCAATGAATGCTTATTCGCTAACACTTAATTATAAATACAAAAATATATGTGCGTCTGAGTTTGCGTGTATATATGAATACATACATACATATATATATATATATATATATATATATATATATATATATATATATACATGTTTGTGTTAATGGTCTAATCTATCTTATCTTTATCCTTAATATATATATATATATATATATATATATATATATATATATATATATATGTGTGTGTGTATATATATATATATATATATATATATATATATATATATATATATATATATATATCAAACGTTACTTATACAGTATACAAAATGAGTGGTGAACCAATTTCATCAAGAGCGCTCAAATCGGGCTGCTGTTGGCGGCTCGAACAAAAAAAAGTATAAACAGACCGTCTAATCAGGTGCCTGGCTTCATACCTAATTCAGTTCTGTACACTGATAAGAAATACTAGGAAACTGAAATAAAATCAATGAATAATAATAATAATAATAATAATAATAAGAAGAAGAAGAAGAAGAAGAAGAAGAAGAAGAAAGAAAGAAAGAAAGAAAGAAAGAAAGAAAGAAAGAAAGAAAAAGAAATACATTTTCCCTTGATGATAGTACTAAAAGAGCCGGAAATATGATTACTCTACTTGACTTCATCAAACACCGTTGGGCGGCGCTGATTAAGTCTATAAAATGACAAACATTTTCCTTTCCGCCCTCTCTCTCTCTCTCTCTCTCTCTCTCTCTCTCTCTCTCTCTCTCTCTCTCTCTCCCTCCCCTGATGTAGCGCCACGTGCAAATTATGTTTCTCCGGCCCGCTGACGACTGAACTTCTCTTCCACCTTCCAACGCAGAGCGTCCGAACGTGCCTTGCAGCTACACTTATAAAATAATTTGGTAAATTCCCCTCTCCAAGTTCTTCAACTACCTTAACCAGATATTGAACTCACACCTCTTTGGGCCCTGTCACTAGATCAAACTAACGCCTTTATCTTTATGGCACAGTGGATAAAGACGTTCGTTAGATCCAATGATAAAGTGAGTTCAATACTCGGTTAAGGCAGTGGAGAACTTAGAAAGGTGAATTAACGGGAGATAACTGATAACTGACATCCATTAGACATGGTGCGTGTAACTAGAACAGTCTACCCCAGCGAGCGAAATAAAGAGTTCGGTTCGACATTCCAACCACCTGAAGAAGGCCGGAGCGTACAACATTTTGTTGTTAAAAGTTGAGAGTGTCATAGTTCTGTGCGTGTGACTAATGACAGCAAAGTGTTAAGTAGTACAAGTGCCAGGAATTCCCTTTTATTGGATCTTAGTGGCTATTCCAAACGGTTCAATGTAAAAGGATTCAATTTGTATATGTGTGTGTGTGTGTAGAAACGGAATGGACAATAATACTAACAGTGTCCATTATAACATCTATCGCAACTTTTTGCTACTCCGTTCACGTGATCATGGCGGACACAATATTTCTTCACGACCTTGTCTCTTTTCGTCATTGCATTACCCCTCTTCCTTCAATTCAATATAACAAGGGCACCAGGAGGTGATATAATAGTTAGCAAGCTTATCTCGCTTGAACAATTACGGCTGACTAATGAGTTCGATCCTCCCTGGGTGCCCTATACTTTCGACCTTGTGTCACATCTAAGCTACGTTTGGAAAATCACTATAGCAAGTATCTAGATTTATAATCAACCTAATTTCTTTTTAGGTGTTTGATTATTACTGCTATAATCTAAATACTCTTCGTGAATATTCTGTAATACTTTTTATACTTCGTAGTAACTCTGGATTTCTTTCCTTTGGCCCTTGAGATGTTCTTATACACCCTTGTCATATAAATATATAACGACTTTTCGACGCTGAGGAGAGTGGAAGAGAAACGCAGGCCCCTGATCCCTGTGACCAGGACGCCTTCAGTGTTGAGTTACAGCCGATTTATTCTTGTTCTACCAACTGGACGCTAGTTAGAAACTTTTCTGTCTATTCTTACTTCCGGCATTAAAACAAAATAAAATAAAATAAAATAAAAATTATTCCTTTCATAACGTTAACAGTTTTGTAAGGACTGCCTGGAATGAGACTTGACACACATTGATGTCATCACTCCTGAAACTCAGTGACCACTGGCTATCAACTCACTCATCTACTGCCTATCGATGTCCTTTGATACCCCGTGATAATGGCGGACACAATATTTCTACAAGACATCGGCCTTTTCTTCATTGTATTACCCCTACTTCATTTAATTTAATATAGCAAGTTTATTTAGATTTATAATCAACCTAACTTCTCTTTAGTTGTTTGATTATAACTTAATCTAAATTCTCTTCGTGAACATTCTATAATACTTTTTATACTTCATAGCAACTCTGGATTTATTTCCTTTAAATATTAAGTACATAGCAAGCCCTGGAGATGTTATTTTTTTTAATTTTTTTTTTTAAGCATTACGCCCCGAGCAAGGCGTGAAGCCACTAGGATGCAGGGGGTTGCAGAAGATTTGGAGCGAGAGCAGATAGGAGTGATAGAAGAAAGGATGAGGAGAAGGATAGTGGATAGATCAAGGTAACTGGAGGTGTCGATTGACATTACATTTGAATAGTTGGAGATTATATCTCTCAGGGAAACAGTAATTGGGAAGGGTGTTCCAGAGGCGAAAGGTGCGAGGTATGAAGCTATTGGAGTAGAAGAGACGGCTACATTTAAAAGTTTCTACAGTGTAAGGGTGGGAGCGGGATGCCAGCCTCGTAGGGCGCTTGAATTCATGGAGTCTGGGAACCAGTGAAAGCAGCTCATCGGAGCAATTACCATGAAAGTATTTGTAGAAAAGACAGAGAGAGGCGAAGGCGCGTCTGTGAGAGAGTGACTGTAGATGAAACGCCAGATCAGGGCCAATTAGATTACATATCCGTCTCTGGATCTTGTCAAGAACTCCAAGGTAAACAGAAGGTGCCCCAGACCATATATGGCAGCAATACTCCATGCAAGGGCGAATGGTTGATTTGTATATTTGAAGTATCTATTCCGGGGAGAAAAATTTCCACCCTTGTCATATAGACTTGTGGTTTTTTACCGCTCATGTAGGGAGAGAGATGAGGATTTTGAGAGTCGGACGCGACAGGAGGTAGTCTTGCGAGGCAACCGTCTTTCTCATCAGGATCTGATCCGATTCTTTGAACTGAATGATAAAGATTAGAACTGATAGAAAACGATTGCATTCGACAGTCTTCAGCGAAAGGTGGGTGCCTGAGGCGAACTTGGTTCGTTTAAACGGGGCTACCTTGATTTTCTCTTTTAGGTTAACCTATCTCACATCGGGGCGGTTTCCGGTAGAGCCCTCCCCTTGGTTAGGTTAGACAAGCTTTTATGTACCTGATTAATGTGAGTAAATGTTGTTCCTAGCCTGTTCCCAGCTGCATCTTTGGTTATGATCCAAGTTGAGATTCTCAACCTCTCTAGTTTGTTTTGGTCCCTTTTTCATCTCGACTGGGTCAGTTTTTATATTTCCTATGCCTGTGTTTTATTTTTTCCTTTCCTACTCCCTTCACGAGAGAGCTTCTTGATTTTGTTCAATGGGCAGAATACAGCGGCCTCTCCCTTTTTTTGTGGGTCGGGCGGGCCCTACTTAACATAAGTTATGTTTAATTTATTTTGTGTTGTTATTTAGTTTGATTATTGGCATTGGGTTCATCCCACCTCACTCTCATATTTAGAATTGTACATATGTATTTTTATCCTTTAATTTAGCATCATGGGGTGCGTTTTCTGTAGACCCCACCCCCCGAGAAGATGCGGTATTATGGTGTATGGATTCATTAAGAATTTTGAGTATTGCAACATTAGATCCGTTGTGCCACGTAACCCCCCCTCCCGGACCTGTTAACAGGCTGCCTCTCCGCATAATTCCCTCCACATTGTGATTTTAAAAACAATAAATTTATTATATCAGGAGGTAGATCTTAATTTTATAATGGCATCGAGATTTGCATTAGCCAATCAGAATATGTTTTGTCTGCTGTCTACAGGTATAAGCTCAACGGCGTGATTTTCGCGCGCTTTCCGGTTTTATCTTTCCTGCACATGCGCCAACGTTATGGTAAGTCATTTTTTTATATTTAATTAAAGAAGAAAAAAAAGATCGACCACACTACTCAGTCGTAATTGTTCTAGCGAGACAAGCTTGTTAACCATTACACCACTCCGAGATGCTCTAGTTAATATTTATGAGAGTGTATGTGCCTTATACATTTTATTTTAAAAAGTCAGTGTAAATGTTAATTAACATTTATGATGATCTTCTAAGCATAGCTTAGGTATGACACATGGCAAAATGTATGGGTCAGTCACATTTTCTTGATATACATTTATAAAATGAAACGATAGAAGTCATAAGTAATGTTACCCTGCCTTCATTACGAATTTCGGGTATTGCAACATCAGATCCGTTGTACCAGGTACCCCGACCTGTTGACAGGTTGTCTCTTCTTATAATTCGCTCCACGATGCGATTTAACAAAAAATATTATATCAGGATGTAGATCTTACTTTTATAATGGCATTGAGATTTGCATTAGCCAATCAGATTTTTTGTCTGCTGTCTACGGGTATGAGCTCAACAGCGTGCTTTGCGCGGGCTTTACAGTTTTACCTTTCCTGCACATGCGCCAACATTATGGTAAGTCTTTTTTTTCTTTTACATTTACTTAAAAAAGATTCCTCGCGGCATTAAATACAGTATTATGCTATGTTCTCAACCTAAGTTCATACATTCACTTACTAATCTCAAAAAAAAAACTCAAGCAAACCCTACAATAATTTGACAAGTTCGTGAATGCTGTACTGCAGGCCATTTTGTTACAGTCAAAATCAACGGGGAGATGTTCCGTCATTGGGAGATCATGTTACACTCAATTGCCATTAAATCCGATGGTTTCGTGGGTGCGAAAGCTATTTGATGCCAACTTTCTTGGTAACGAAAACAATGTAACAAAAAAATAAACAAACTTTATTCCGCTTGTCTTTAATGACAGCCCTAGTGCTGGATACGTAAGCATTCACCGATGATGCTTTCAACTAGCATGGTGTGCTCCCTCACTGATGTTAATAGAGACTGAGAAGAAGCCTCTACCATGATGAATCATTTTTTATACTGCCTGCTTAACACCTTCACAATCCCTTTTAAACAGGCAGTCATCATTTGGTGAACGATAAGTTCATTTGTTGGGGCACTCAGTGGGGAGTCTATCACTGACTTTGGCAATGGATTTCCAAAGAAGTCCTCAGTACAGACAAAAATAGACATTGCGTCCTCGCTGAGTACTTTCACATTGTCAATGACCCCTTTGATGTTCATTGTGTCGATGGTGTCATTTTGCATTTTGAGAGATGTGTAGAAGGTACACATCCAAGGCCTTGATAGCGTCTTCTCTATGATTCCCAGCACTTGCATCTCGACGATAGCAGCTTCTTCTGTAAACAGTAGCTGCAACCCGAAGATGGTTTCATTCGTTGAAGGAAGTCCTGAGACAAATTGCTTACACTGATCAAAAACAGGAAAGTAAGTTCATCGATGATGCTTTCAGCTTGCATGGTGTGCTTGCCTCGGAAGACGCCTCTACCGCGGTGAACAACTTTTTATAGACTGTCTGCTTGAAACTTCCACAGTCCCTTTTAAACAGGCAGTTATCATTTTTCGAAATGAAGTTCATTTGCGGGGGCAATCTGCAGGGACTCTCTTGATGACCATGTTCACCATAGTCTATGAATATAGA